GTCCAGTTCTCCTAGGCTGGATCCCAGAGCTTGGATTCCCATTACAAATTAGCACTAACTCACCTTGGTCTGGTACCAGGACTCAGCTTCTGTTCGGCTGCGGTTGGCAATGTCTTCATACTGAGCTTTGACCTCAGCAATGATACTGTTCAAGTCAAGGTTACGGTTATTGTCCATAGACAGGACAACGTTGGTGTCAGAGATATGAACCTGCATCTGAGAGAGTTCCTGGGGAGAGATATGCAGTCATTAATTCTGTGTCACTAATTCTTTTGTACTTTCTTCACAATTATAGCCACATTCAGATGATGAAGAAAGTTAAGAGAACAACTGAAATCTTTGCTGAAACAATTTAAAAAACTATATGATTTCATTTTCCAACATAGTGGTTTTCAAATGTTTATATCTAGTGACCTTTTCCCCCACCACTCCCTCACCAAGGAGCTCCATAACCTCTCAGGTTTTAATCTTGCTGCTTCTCCTCACTAATTAAAATATACCTTCCTATTCTGGAAGGAACTAGAAAGTAGTCCATGAAGTCAGAAAACCTCATCAAAGGAGGGCTTTGGACAAGGAAATCTCAAAGTTGTCTTACAGCTCAAACATCCTATAAATCTATGAGACTCACTTCTAAGGCTCTTTACATAGCATAGTTACTGGGAGTGAATGAAGAATTTCTTTCAGGAATATAAATGCCCAGGAAATCAAAATTGGGGAACTGCAAGAGGAAGGAAAAGGTTTGTACTTAGGAATATTGAATCTGGGACAGGATTGTATTTGTTAGTCCCAGGATCTGGGAATCCAGCTACCATTTAAGCTAATAGCCCTTTGTCTCCATAGATATTAGCTTATGGCAAAGTCACCAATTGCTATATCCTGTACTTGATTGAGAGAAGGTGGTTCGTTACCATGTCATAGAGAGTTCTCAGGAAGTTGACCTCATCAGTGAGGCTGTCCACCTTGGCTTCCAGTTCCACCTTGTTCATGTAGGCACCATCAACATCCTAGAAAAAACAGACCAAATTTTCCATCCAAACTCCAATGAGCCATGCCCTGTACCCAAAATGTAACTTCAGGCTATAGGCACAAATCAATCCACACCTACCTTCTTGAGTATCACAAATTCATTCTCTACTGTAGTACGCTTGTTGATTTCATCTTCATACCTAATGGAAAAGGGAACAGGATTAATTGATAGGGGACCTGAGATAGTCAACATTGAGGAGCACAATTACGCTCATGACTAAGCCAAGCACACATTGGCCTTCATATTGACTATAAGGAGGCTCATCTCTGCTGTTGCAAGATGTCTATTTCTCATCTTCTTTCCTACAGGCTAGGAAACTCCACTTGGGGAGAGAAAAAGAGAGAGTGAAGGATGATGGCACCTGCTATGAAGGAATGAGCTCTTGAAAGAAAGGGAGGAAGTAGTCATGGCTTAAGCCCCGGGTACTGGCAATTGTGGGAATCTGTCTTCCCTGTCTGCTTGGGAAGAATCATCCTGTCTTCAACTGCCCACTCAGTCTGTCTTTTACAAATCCAGTTATTCAAAGAATATACTAATAGATTCCCTATCTTACTCTTCTCCAATTCATTAAGCCATTTATACTGATGCATCTGGTTCTTCATACAGAGATCACTCAGAACATCGAAGCCTGTGGTTATCAAATTAATAGGATACTAAGATCATAAATATAGAGTTGGAAAAGGTCATCTAATTTTATAGACATCTTCTCATTTTATAGAGGAGATAACTGAGGCACCAGGAAGGCAGATAATTTGCCCAAGGTCATGAAAGTATTATATTGTAGAGATGGGTAGGATTTGAACCCAAGTCATGAGACTCCAAATCCAGAACTCCTTCCACTAAATTCTGCTGACTCTCTTGAATGAGAATAAAATGAATTGAACTGAATCAAGTTGAATCCTATCCCATTTGATTCTATTTGATTCAATTCAGTTCGAGTAAAACCAGGAGTCCAGCTATGGGGGCCTTGAAAATAAATGTTTTGTGTCTGCTTCCTTTGGTCACCATTGCTCTCTCTCTCCCTAGATAAAGGAGAGATTTTTACTGTGTGGAAAATCAGAATGAAAGCCCTTAAGGGGCAAGGAGTATATAGAATGCCTGTGTGCTCTAAGTATGCTGTAAGGGTAGAATTATTGCTGTAGGTTAAATGCCACGGGAAAGAGGTTAAACCCTAAACTGGTTTGTTGTTGTTGGTTTGTTTTGTGTTTTTTGTTTTTTCATGCCTGAGCAAGGATTTTTTAATTGCCACATAGTGCTGAGAAGCGCATTATCTCCCAGCTCCAGGGCTAGAAAGCTTAGTATTTAGAATTGGGGGCGGGGATAGGATAGGGAAGGAGACACCAAGCGGAAAGACTCAGAAACAAAGGGTCTCCTGTCATAGGTTCAAGAGGGGCCAAACACATTGTGATGCTCTGTATAATGCCCAGAACATTATAAGTACCCAACCTAAAATACATGCGCACAATATACATCACAGTTCTGTCAAAGGCTGGATCCTCATTTATTGAGTGTTGGAGGAAGGGACCCATGAATATGAACATAAAATTAGAGGTGATGTCCAATTCAGGGAGTCCATGCCTTAGTGGTTTTATGGCTAAGGTATATCACTCCTGTTGTGGGGAATGTGGGCAGGGGTGGGGGAAGTTGGACTGGAAAAATTAAAATCATCCAGAAACTCCTAGATGTGACTAGGTATTTTTCAGACTGTTGTGTTCTGAGGGAGAATACTGAAAAGGCAGTACAGAGAAGGCTAACAGCTATGGATTCTCTTATTTGCCAACTCCCTCAAACCACATATAGTAGAAATTCAAGGATTTGTCTTAAGACAAAGCAAACCCTTATCATGCTCTACCATTCCTATTCTTTTGATTCTTTTTCCCATTCCACCATACTCCGCTCCATTCCCCAGCCCATAGCTAAGATTATGTCAAGTTAGGGAGATAGCCTTCCCAGCTCTACTTCCTTCTTTCTGCTTACCTCCATTTTCCCACTCCCTACCAGTAATCAGACCTTCAGTTTCTAGAATGGAGAAACCATAATGTTTTCCATGGTACTCAGTCTCTGTCCATCTGTCTCTCTCTCTCTTTCTCCCTCTTGCTTCCCCCTTCCTCTCCCTACCTCTCCATCATGAGCTTCATCTGACTGTAGAAAGACAATTCCTTACTGCACCCCCCCAACACACCCCATTGACTCCTCCTACTCACTTGTTCTTGAAATCCTCCACTGTATCCTGCATGTTCCTCAGCTCAGAATCCAGGCGGCCCTTCTCATTCAGAATACTGTCTAGCTGCCTCCTGAGATTGTTGATGTAGGTTTCAAAAAGTGGCTCTAAATTCTGTTTCACGGTCTTGTGACCCTGCTCCTGGAGCAGCGTCCATTTTGTATCCAACACCTTATTCTGCTGCTCAAGGAATCGCACCTGGAAACCAGAAGAAGAGACATTTCAAGAGGAATATCTAATATTTATATTGTTCCATGGAATATCACGGGGTTGCTACTTTCAAGTCCTCATCTTATCAATCTCTCTCTTCCTCGCTCATTCTCTCTCTGTCTCTGCCTCTCTGTTTCTCTCTCTCTCTCTCTCTCTCTCTCTCTCTCACACACACACACACATACATACATACACACATACATACATACATACATACATACACACACATACACACCCTTTTTCCTCCCTGCCCCCCATCCCCTAGAGAAAACCTGCAGGGAGGACTGGCAATGCTTCTTGCTTTCGAGGGCTTCAGTATAGTGAGGATACAAGGAGAGACATAAGTTAGAGAGATACAAAAACAAAGTGAAGAGCAGCTAGATAGAACTCTAGGCGTCTCTGCAAAGGGGAGCCTGCCCAGCATTTAAAGTTTTGCCTCCAATTTCTCTCCATAACATAAGTAAGTATCCAACATGTGTAAAGTTTAGTGCTGGGCTCTGGGAGGAGCAGATTGAGAAGGATGGGAAGTTGTTCCATTCTGCAGGCTCCTAATCTAGCAGGGAAGGTAGACCACACAGACAGGCATACGGAAGGACGTACAGATGGGAGGGTGGATAGAAGATAATGCACACTCTGTACACATTTGTCTAAGACATGAAATCTCCTTCCTACCCATTCTTGCTCTGGCAGTTAGCCCAGATTCACAGGAGTTTAGTGAGCATTTCTTGTCTCACCTTGTCGATGAAGGAGGCAAACTTGTTGTTGAGGGTCTTGATCTGCTCCCGCTCTTCAGTCTTCACCCTCTGGATGGTGGGGTCAATTTGGAGGTTGAGGGGAGCCAGGAGACTCTGGTTGACGGTGACTCTTGGATGCCACCAGGGGGGCAGACAGGGAACCCAGGTCCCCCATAACCTCCACCGAAGCCAGCTCCACCACCGAACCCAAAGCCACCACCAGCCCCACCGCCGAAACCAAATCCGCTACCCGCTCCTCCACCAAAGCCGCTACCGGCTCCTCCACTAAAGCCATATCCGCTTCCTACTCTCCCTCCGTAGCCACTCCTGAAGCCACCACCGCCTCCCATGGAGATCCTCTTGGACATTCCAAGGTTGTAAAGGCTCCTGCTGCCAAAGCCGGCTCCCCCTCCAGCACCACCAATACTGATGCGGCCATAGCCGCCGCCGCCTCCACCGCCTCCGGCCCGGGATACAGAGACAGAGCTGAAGCTGGTTCGGCTGACAGAGGGGGTGACCGCTGAAGAGGCACTGAAGCCACGGCGGCCCCCACTCTGGAATGATACGCTTGATTGCCGAGACATGGCTACTTGGGGAGCAGAAGTACCAAGTACTGGAGTAGCTTTCCAAAGAAAAGAACAGAGCAAGGTGAAGGAGGAAGACAGAGGCTCTGTTATCCAGCGACTCAAATCTTCCCCCTTCTCTTTATATCCTTCTAAGGGCTGGGCTGGGCTGAAGAATCTCTTGCAGATCTGAATGATTAAGTGGGTTGGGCATGCCTGGGGGGCAGCTGTGAGCTCACCCCTCTCACACCTGCATAGTAGTAGGAGATACAAAAGACTCCTTCCTGGCAGACTTGGCTCATTTAGAAACAACCCTGCCTTGCAGGGCCCATATGTCAGTGGCACCCCAACAGGCTTGCCAAGTCTTCCTTTCCCCACCAGAGGCTGGGAGGAGGTTAAAGAAGATAATGCCAGGGGGCAAATGGACATTCATCCAATGTTGAAGGGGAGGTACTTGTAGAGGAGGGGTTACTGTTTCCATTTTGCTCTGTATAGTGGCCTGGCATCATGAGCATTGATTTTTCCTGTTTAGGGTAGAATTATCAAATCCTGAGGGGTGATGTGAACTTCTCCACTAAGAAGAGAAGCAAGTATCCAGTGATTTGTGTAGTGACCAGCTCTTGGTATTTTCCTGAGGGAAGAGGCAGTAGGGACCTGAGTCCTTATAAACTCTAGTGGCTGACATCATAACTTTTTGCCCACCTTAAGGTAAGTTCTTTATCTTAAGGTAGGATGACTTGGAGTATTAGAAAGACTGCCTGATCTCCATCTGAGTTCAGATCCCATCTCTCTACTACTTGTAGTATGTGTGGTAAATCACAATACCTCTCTGGGCTACACTCTCCACATTTATGAAATAACAGGCAGCGAGCAGTTTCCAAGGTCCTTTCAAACACTATAACTTCTCCAAAGCAAGTTGGACAAAATCCCATGCAGGGGCTTAAACTATCATCCTCTCATCCTTAATTTCCTTCTCCCATCTCCAGAAAAGTACTCTGAGTCCAATTTGCCCAAAGACCCCCTGAGTGCACACTCATCTTACCTTGACTCAGTTCTCCCCAAAATAATCTATTGCATGGCATTTGTCCACTATTCCTGCTTTACCAGGACTGTATAGAGATGGCTCCTATCTCCCCATCCCACCTAAAAACAGCATTGAGGCGCTAAGAACCAGAGTCATACATGTCATTCTTTTCCCTTTGGCGGGGGGCTTTTTTGCCTCCCCCCTCCCCTTTCCCCTCAGGTGTGTTCCAGCAAGCCTCATTCCACAAAAGGAAGAAATGAGTCATCATATCTGTTGATACAGGCTGAAGGCTGCCACAAACACATACCTGCAGGAGCTTTCTAATCTCACCAAAAACATGTTGAGAATCTGCCTACCTGTTATAACGGCATGCTGCATTGTTCTGCATGGCAGCAACTGACTATGCAGTCTTCAAGTTCAATCCAAGGAAGGGAATGATATTCCTCCCAAAGGAATGGCTCAAGTTTGTGGGAACCAAGGAACGCAGTAGAGTATAAGCTCATTAAGGCAAGGTACTGTTTGCTCCTTTTGCTATTGCATCCTCAGTATGCAGCACATTCTATGTACCTTACCCAAGAGGATAAAGAATTTTTCATTGCGCTCAGCTATCATGCCTCCTCTTTTTTGATTTACCTTTCCCTATTTGGTGCCATAGCTTCTGCCTCTTCCCACTACCCCTGTCCACCCTACCCTATCCCATCCCCCTCCAGAGAGAATCTGAGCTTGCTGCAGATATGCCCAGTATGGCTCTGGCCATAGGTGAGGTGTTGGTGAGATCACAGGATTTAGACTTGTATTGGAGGAGGAAGGTAGGTGCAACAAAGAGGCTTTAGAATTTAGATGTTAGGACAGGAGAGGGGGGTGTAAATAACTGGGATGTAGGTATTCCAAAATGGATTCCCTGGGGGAGACCTAGGAATACAATTCAGTCCCAGGCTCCAGCATTCCTAAGCAGCTGGCCACAGAGAAGCCAAACCTCTATGAAATGATTCAATAGTTGGTTGGAAGGTTGACTTCCAACCAACCAACAGTTAGTTAGAAGGGGCAGCTCTCTCTGCCCCTTACTCAAGATCTGTGGTGAGAAAGGAGCTGACAGAGTAAGTCAGAGAGACAGACAGAGCCGCAGTTACAAGTCTTAAGTCATAAGGTTTGAGCCACCTCCCTGGAGAGCTGCTGAATTTCCCAGGTATGGAGTGTGCTGAGTATGCTTTTTTTAGGGATTCTGGGAAACAGAGTGGCTGTTTGCTAAAGATTGTGGCTTCAAGGCCAGAGGCAAGATGGGGAAGAAAGACCCTACCACCACCACCACAATCTCTTCTTAAAGCAAGATCATTCTTGAGAGATTAGCCCACAAGTGCTCAAGAACCTTTGGTCAGGATGACTTGGTGCCCCCCCCACTGGAAAAATACGAACTATAAAGTTCCCCGTCTCTGACCCCAGGATCTCATGCACGCTCATTATTGCCTTCTGGGGGAGTCCCACCCCTGCTGGAACACTAGGACATTCTCTTCTCCACATCCTCCTCCCAGCTGGGTTATTAGAAGGTACAGGAGGTGTTGAAAAAGGAATGCATTCCGGCCTGCTTGGGAATCACAAGACCTTGCCAAGATTTCAACCCAGGTGCCGCCACCAGAATTTGAGTGGGTGGTGGGTATACTGCCTGATATTGTTTGGTTCCTTGCTGGAAGGGGAGAAGGCAGCTGCAATCTTTGGTCCTCAGAGCAGACTTGGCAGACCAGAACCAAGCCAGAGCTCCAGAGAGAGGGCAGGGCACCATGACCAGGATGAATAATACAGATCCTTCCATAGGCACTGGCACCAATACCTTCTGGAGAATCCCCACCAGGACCTGGCAGCTAGCTCAGGGGAACTGGGGCTTCAAGGAATCTTAATACAATGACCTTTTAGACAAGGGAACTAAGGTCCAGAGAAGGGGAAAGTGTCTTACCCAAGGTAACACAGGTAATAAGCAGAGGAAATGGGAAGTGAGTTGAGGTTGAGTTCCAGATCTGTTCTTTTCCCTGCCACATGCTGTCTACCACACCCCATTTGCACCAGGGGTAACAGAGCTGTTGCCGCTATCCATAAATTTGTATACAATGTCTGTGTTGAGCACTGTACAATTCAACAGGCATTTTAAAGTCAATAAATCAATGTGCTCGCTATATGTCAATTTCTGGGCAAAGAGCTGGGTATACAAAGAAAGGCAAAAACAGTCCCTCAAAGAGCTTATAATCTAATGTGGGAGACAACATGAAAGCAACTATGTTCACATAAGATTAATAATAACAATAATAACTTTTATAGCGCTTTATCATGTGCCAGGCATTTTGCTAAGCATTTTACTATACGATAACTTGGACGTAATTTCAGAGGGAGGGGCAGTTAGGTGGTGCAGTGGATAGTTTCAGGCCTGGAGTCAGAAAGACTCACCTTCTTTGTTCAAATCTGGCCTCAGACACTTACCAGCTGTGTGACCCTGGGCAAGTCACTTTACCCTGTTTGCCTCAGTTTCCATTTGTAAAATGAGCTGGAGAAGGAAATGGTGAACATTCCAGTATCTCTGCCAAGGAAATCCTAAATGGGGTCATGGAGGGTTGGACTCAACTAAAATGACTGAATAATCTCCTCCTGCAGGAGTTGGGATTTTAGCTGAGACTCAAAGGAAGCCAAAGAAGTCAAGAGGTGGGAATGAGGAGAAAGAACATTCCAGGCATGGGGGACAGCCGGTTCGTGCAAATGCATGGAGCACCTGGGAAATGGAATGTCTTGTTCAAAGAACAGCGAGGAGGCCAGTGTCACTGGGTTGAAAAGTACCTCTGCATGCAATGCCCCATGCTTGGGACTGAGAACAGAACAACATTCCTGTCCTCAAAGGAATCATTCCCCCATGTCCCTAAGTTCAAGTCGCTGCCATAATAGTGCTAGAATCTAAATCCATGGTTTTGATGCTTACTAGCTGTATGACCTCAGACATATCCCATTACTCTTGGGAGCCTCGTTTTCTCGTCTGGGAAGCCCCTAGCTTTCTGGTCCTTGTAAAGAAAGTTCTTTCCTCTAGAACTCTTGAAGAGATAAGGAAATGAAAGCTAGTGATGTATTGCTGGGAACATGGGCAGACATGCATAGGACACCGAGACAGATAAGCTCTGCACCACCCATGTTCCAGTTGAAATGTTCTATAAGGCTTTTCTGACTAACAGCCAGCCCTGCTCCACCCAATCCCTTCCCATCCCCCAATCTGGATGGCTAGAGAGCTCTGTGTTGCACCTCCTGGTTCTCTCTGGGCTTATCTTGGTATTTGTGTCCACTGTATCTTCTGTGTGCCTCTGCCCCTCTATAAAGCCAGGAGTTCCTTGGTATATGATGCTTCCTGCTCCCTCTCAAACTCTGTGCCCCACCCCCTCCCCCAACCTCCTGCATTCACGATAGACCCCTGTACAGAGGGGAAACCATTCAGTATAATAGCAAACAAACAAACAAAAAGACAGCTGGGTTAACTTTCTGTCTCCACCAATGGTCACACCTCGACTGATCCTTAATCTATAGGAGTCCTATCAGGAGAAGTCAGGGTCCCCCTCCACCCCAAATCTGACTCTGTTGTTTTTGCAAAGCTTCTATTCCGTTGGAACTTCGGCTGTAAGCTGAATTTAGGTTGGTGAGTCAGACTCTTCACTGGAATGGGTGCCTGAGCCAAAGGGAGCAGGATGGGGAGGGGCAGGTATCAGCCACTTGCCAGTCACAGACAACTGTTAACAAAGCTCTAGCCTCAGGGGGGGAATGCGAGTGAATATTTTTCTCTGGCTCCACCCAAAACTGGGGGGTCCCTCACCCCTACCCCAAGACTCAAGTTTGGACTTAGCAAGAAATCTTAGAGCTCTCAAGCCTTTATGTGGATGAGAATAGGTTGGGAAATGTCAAGAGAAGTAGGAGAAAGTATGTATGAAACTAGGAAAGGACCTCTGAACTTGGGAGCCACAAGAACTGAGTTCAAGTTTTGGCTTACCATTAACTAGGTTTGGGACCTTACACAAGTCATTTCACTTCTCTGGGACCTGGTTTTCATATCTGTAAAATGAGGAGGGTCTCTAAGAACTCTTCCAGCTCTATTATTCTGTCATATTGTCTATTTCCTGCAAATTGAAGTGTGTTATAGCCCTATGATGTGACTCTAGGAAAATCACCCAATCTCAGTGAGTTTTAGCTGCATAAAGGAGATGTGCTTTGAAATCAAGCAAAGAAAAATGGTAGCATAAGTGTGTTAAAAAGGGAGACCTCAAGGTCTTAGGGAAGGATTGGATAGGAATAATTGCAATAAAAACAGAAGGGGCAACATTTAGCTAGGCTGTGGAGGAAACTTTCTGCTGGGATTATTAGATTACTGGTGGAAAGACTCTCCCATCTTTCGGTTTATGTTGGTTAAAAAAAAGTAGTCCCGAGAAAATGGCTTCACATGAGACCAGTACTGGTCCTAATTTGGCCCTAGTTTGCTGTGTGACCACAACAAAATTGCTTAGCTTCTCAGGGCTCTGTTTCCCCTGTGTGTTCCTTGGAAAGTGTAATGGCCGGAGTCACAAGACAGATGTGGCAAAACACACAAAACCACCAAGGGAATGGCACTGTGAACTCTCTTGAGGGGTCATTAAAACCTGAAGACTTAAATGCCATAGATGGGGTAGGGGAGGAAAGGACAGAAGAGAGTGTGTATAAGGGAATCAGGAGCAACCTTAACTTTTGTTACTTAGACCTAGCCTTTGATGGGAACTAGCTGGGTGAGAGCTTAAAATGGAGTGCTATGCCTTTCTTCCAACAGGCCCCCACAAGTCTGAGGAATGTTCTTCCCTCATTTGGAAGGGTGTTGTGCCAATGGTGCACTAAGCCCTCAGAAACCCCCCTTCCGGCTTTGGCTGAGGAAAGCTATAGCCTGAAAACCAAGACGAGTGAATTGGTCCCAGAATGAAAACAACATAATGAAGTCAGTTCTCAGTTCTCTTCACTGTTAGGGAAGAACAGTAGCATAAAAATAATCCAAAATCAGTAAATTATTCAGAGAAATTTCTAATTCTGTCTGAAATGTGTTTTGTCTAAATAGGAATGTGGATGTGTTTGATTCCCAGGGAATTTCCAACCCGTAACGCCAAGTAATGAAGTCCCCTAGTGAGACCACAATTCTAGAAGATCTGGAAAGCTGTCTTGCTTTCCCCATCCTGATCCTATCAAGTGAGTCATTCCTCTTACCCCACCACTCTCCATGTTAGAGATGGACGGCATCACCCTTCAGATTGATGGGACACACCAGACTGACTAAAATTGCCCTCTTTCTCTAAGCTTTTGTCTGTATAGCTCACAATCTCCCTACGTGGTAAATCATGAGGTAAAGGTATACCCTAACAAGAGCTATGTATTTTGTTTCTAATGTTTTTGCCTTCCATTTCTTTCTAGCCGCCAAGCTAAGTCCACAGAGGTAGTTCATTTAACAGACAGACAGAAACGAGCTGAGGTTTGTGGATAGGAGGAAGGATACACATAAAGAGAGGACTGAGTACACAGGTTGGTAGGAAAGGATTGGGGGGGGGGGAGAAGTCTATTCATCGTGCAGCTTCCCCCATACCCATCCCTATCCAGGGAACCTCTGTGCCCCAGAAATAGCAGCTATGGAGATGAATTATAAAAAGAGTTCTTGGAGGAGGAGCTCTCTAGTAATGGGGATAGTAGACCAAGCTTCCTAGAATAAAGAGGAGGACTAAATTTATTATGCTGAGGTCCCAAACCTTGCAAGCAATGGATGAAGACCCAAGAGCAACAAGACGAGAGAAGTTGATGCACACATTATTCTTTATTAGTACTAGATCCAGAAATCAGCCATATTCTGATAGTCCCAGAGGAAACCTGAGCGGGAAGGGGAGAGAGCACTTGTTAAAGTGAGTGATTCCCACCCCCGCCCCACATCTCTACTGAGTCAAACCTGGTCCGTGTAAACCCAGAGCTAGAGTTTTGTGCCATGGCTTACTACTATTATTACTTTTAATAAATGATCATTAACAATAATTAATAATTGATAATAAATACTACATTCAAATTAGACTTCATACTCCTCAAAGTCCTTTTATATTTATGATCTTAATGGTTATTAGTACTCTTTTCCTTCTCAAATCACCTTACATTTACTTTTAGGTTTGCAGATTGCATTCCTACCTAAACAGAATTTATGCTCCTTGAATTAAGGGACTATCTATTATTGTTTGGAATTTTTTTGTCTTTGTATGTGTCTAGCCTACTGCCTCATATGTCATAATAATGTGGAATGTGTTTGTAGATTAAACTGAATCGGATTGAAGGGTGATAATATCACCAGATGGCT